CTAAGTGTAGTCTTATTTCAAGATTGTATCTTTGTCGCCTGCGTGGTTTCCCTGTACGCTCAGTGTCCCATTCGGTGTTGCAGTGCGTACTGTGGCGGGCTGTGGCTGGCGTCATTGTGCGTCATGTGCAAAATGGCCGCGCTGCTCGACAACGAGGCGGCGCAACAGCACTACAAAGACATCTTAGACAGAGGCAGCGTCGCTTTTGATAAACTACTGTGGAATGGTAAGACCCAATATTCGGTGAGCCCCGGCTATTCCCAGGAGCTAGGAATTGATCCCTGATGGATGCCTGCATTCATAACACCCTGATCATTGCACTTAAAACAAGGGCAACTTTGTTGTAATCTGTCCCTAAATAATTTAGGCAAGTACTACAACTACGACAGCAGTGGGAGAGACCTTTCGAACAGTATCATGTCCGACCAGTGTGCTGGCCAATGGTTCCTCAGAGCTTCTGGACTCGGAGAAGGAGACTTCCAGGCAACTAACTTACTGCTGTTACGGCATAACGCTTTTAGCTAACGTCATGTGTTTTCATTGCGGTCGTTGTAGAAAATATCATTTTTCTCTTGTAGTCATATGACTTCTTCAATCAGAATTGGATCATTTATTTGCTCCGTTGGAGTGCAGGAAAGCCTTTTTGGGAAACTAAAAATGAATGAATGAATGAATTGCTAGCCTGCCCAAAAATTGATAAATAATGTAATCTAGTAGAAAACGCAAACGAAAATGTTTAAGTGTTGAGCTTGGAATTTTAGGCCAAGTTAAACTTTAAATTAAAATTTAGGAAATAAGAAATTGAAAAACACTGACTTTTCCCAAAGTGTCCATGACAGAAACAAAAGCTACAATTTGATGTGGACATTATATTCTTGGTAGATTTGAAGAGCTAAAGTTGGAAATTATCAAATCAAAAGTGTCAATTTCATGATTACACCTCCTCTCACCATCCAGGTTTTTCCCAAGGAAAACATCAGGGCCGCGCTCCAATCAGTTTTCGACTTGAACGTGATGAGCTTCAGCAGTGGTCAGATGGGCGCCGTCAACGGCATGCGGCCCGAGGGCGTAGCCGACCGCTCCAGCGTCCAGTCTGACGAGGTTTGGATCGGCGTGGTTTACGGACTGGCCGCCACTATGATCCACGAGGTAAAAATAAAAACATAATTAAGTATAACATTTAACTGTTAGTAAGTTATGATTTAATGCCGCAATCCAGTTCAGTGTCCCGCTCCTTTTGGTGTGCCATCACTGGCCGCTGCTTGGCCGTACCGTACGATACAGTCTGCAGGCACAAGCGAAGAACACTTGACCTACTCCCACTTGGGATAAAATTTGTCTTATATTGTAGAGGACAAAGAATATACTGTACACCTAACTATTGTTATCCGACCAGTCTACGTGTTGTGCCATAATTTATGTTCTAATATTCATTGCTTAACGGGTTGTAAAACCGCTACAAATCATTGCTAACTACTAGCATGTGAATGTCATTTTTCTGTTATATGTTAGCATTAAGCTAGCAGTTGCATGATTTTATTTATTTTTTCCCTTCTCAGGGTATGTTAGCTGAAGGTATGCGCACAGCAGAAGGTTGCTACCGTACGGTTTGGGAAAGGCTGGGCATGGCCTTCCAAACGCCCGAAGCCTACTGCGAGAAAGGGATCTACCGCTCGCTGGCGTACATGAGGCCGCTCAGCATCTGGGCCATGCAGCTGGCTCTGAACCGTTCGCGCGATGGCCGCCACGCAAGGGGCGAAGGAGATGCAAGTCAATAAGCTCTGCCGCGGTCCCTTTTGAAATCCCAACTTGGATCCGTTAGGCTTTGTCTGCAGCTTGCAGATCGTAGCCTTACTTGAATTCTGGTTTTCTTCTCTTTATAACGCCGGGCTGTGTCAAATCAGAGCCTGTGTGACTTCACCTTGTCAATTTGCACACATCATTTGAGTACTGTTTATCAGTGTCTTATTACTGGTGTATAGTTATTTCAATGCTGTCCTAAGTAATATACAATGAAACATATTTTTTCTTTTTTATACAGAATCTGGTGCCTTGTTGCACGTTAGACCATATTATTGTCGCTGAAGCGCTGTTTTCGAACAGCCGCAGTCCTGACAATCATCCCGAATAAATCACTGTATAAGAGTACAGTATTCATCCTTTTTTGGTGTTGTCTTTCAAGTCACAAGCAATTGGTTGATTAATTTTTGCTGCTGTAATGCAAACAGGCATGCAGCAGAGGGCGGCAATCGCTCATCAATTTTTTTAAACGTGGAGCCGTGGTTCTGCGACGTCGAGGACCACCATAAAAACAAATACTTTTTAATCAAAAACGAGGAAGGGCTTTTAATCTTGTAAGCCACTGTAACACAATGCACACTTTGAAGATTAACACCACTAAAATAGAATTTACAAAAAAGGTTTTTATTTCAATTAAAATGTATTGCACGAGTAAAAATTCTACCTCTAAAAGTATTTGAAAACAAACTGCTCTAAACGATTAAATGTAAAAGTTAAAGAGCACTGAAATGTACTTAAAGGGATCCTATATTACTTCTGCCGTTTTCCGCAGTAAAAAGTTCATATTTTGTCTAGAATGAATTTGGCAACTTCATTATGTACTCGAATACATGTGATGTCATTTTTGCTCGACGGTAAGTAGCAAAACGTGTTTTTAAAGGTGTTGCACATGAAAAATTAATAAAGTTGTTAAACTCATAAACAAAATAAATTGGATTAAAGAGTGTTTCAGCCACTGAAATGTTTTGCGCAATTTGAACTTTATTCGGCGATTCTTTGCATACCACTCGAGGGAAAAAAACCCTCACTGGTGTGGCGTTTCTCAACTTTTATTGCTTCTACACATTTTACACAAGTATCACAACAGTGGGCACGCAGGTTAATTATGCACCTTCTGCCATCTAGTGGAAGACCATTTCAATGTTCTGCTTGCCAATATACGTCGCTTGCATAGATGCGGAATCCAACAGATGACTATTAGTGGATCATTATCAAACCTCTGCTTTCCCATTTGGAAACAAGCCCCCACACCCCCAGACACACACTTCATTTCCCCTCTCGTCTGTTTTTTGAATTCTATTACCCCACATCCTGTCATTGTGTACATTCTGCATCGCATCCACCCTTTTTTTTTCTTTAAAAAACGTTTAGATGTCTAAAAGCAGCCTCGCTGTTTAGTAAGTCGAAGACTGTTGCTAAGTAACCTGCCAGCTGTCAATGTGTCATGCTCTCACTTGTGGATGATACACACCGCCAATGTTAAACAAAAATGTTCTGCCTGCCAAAAATATATTTTATCAATACAATGGAAAAATACTAGTGCAAATATAACCCCAAACCCCTGTGTCAAATTTAAATTTGCATAATGGGGAACAGAGACCTTTATTTCTTTCTGATGCACATGATAATTTACCAATGAGTCAAATTGCCTCAGTGTCGCGCCAACAACTACTGAGGAGGATTTGCGTAATGCCAGATTTCTTTTTAATTGCCTTACATATATCAGTGGCTAGTATCGGCAGCTTCACAACCTAAGTGTAGTCTTGGCAACACCGATTCCAAGTATCGGTACTCACCCGTCCCTACATGGGGTGAATAAGGGCTCACTGGGAGGAACTCAAGTGTTTTTCATATGAACCTTTACTTTAAATATGACTTAACTACTGTGTTCGAGAGACACTATGGTGCATTCAGATTTGCAAAAAGAGAGTAGAAATTAACTTATGTTTACGTGTGCTGTCAATAATGGCAAATAATGAGTCAAGAACAGAAAGTGAATTTTAAAACAGTACCGGCTAAGTACTGAAGGAAGAAAGGTAGAAAAGTAGTAAAGAAGGTAGGGAAGATGTCAGATAGGAAAGAGGGAAGGTTGGGAGGAAGCAGGAATGAAAAAAACGACTCTGGGGCACAATATGGGCAGTAGCGAATCAATACAAAGCGACTCGGAAGAGAGGAAGGAGGTCCGTGGAACAAGCAGGTTTAAGGTGGAAGAAAGGAAGACGGTCAAGAAGGGAAATAGAACAAAAATAAACCTGTGCATTAATGATACTATTTTTTAAAAATGTATACCCACTCAGAGTGTAACAAAAATGGTTTGAATTCGAAAAACGGGTTTGATGCAAAAGACGTATGCATCGAATCGTTCGACTTTATAATATATGGAGACACACATTGAATCGTATTTTAGTGGAGAGATGTACACCTCTAATATGTGTAGTATAATATCATTGAAGGAAATGCCACGGTTACAGCACTGACAAATTCATACAATAAACTGACAGCAAGAAATTTTAAAATGTATCGCGTTTGAATCGCATCGCACTCCATGTATCGATTTACGAATCGAATCGTCTTTTATTGGAGGGATGCACACCCCTCATACCTAATTTCGGCTTCTGGAGGATTTGTTTATTTTTTTTTTTTAATGGATGTCGATTAATGGGAAGCAGTCACCGTTGGGTTGCCGGAAGGAGACTTTCGGCTTCTGGAGGATTTGTTTATTTATTTATTTTTTTAATGGATGTCGATTGATGGGAAGCAGTCACCGTTGGGTTGCCGGAAGGAGCCGAGGCAAGCCGAACTCGCTCTCCACCTCCCTTGCCCCCACCCCGCTCCCCGGTAGTCTCTCGATGGTGCAAGCAGCCATGTTGCCGCGAGCTTGTTCCGGTATGAGGGCTGGCTACTGCGCTTAGACAGCATTCGGACGCAGCCCGTCGCTTCCCCACAACCCCCGGAAGCCACCGTACCGGCGATCATGGATAGGACA